GGAAAGGGATCTCATTCACACTGAGCTTGCTAAGGGCAGTTTCCAATCCAGATCAGCTCCATTGAATGTGGCAATACTGACCCCCAGAGTCTGTCCAGCAACTTCCATTCCCAGAATGACACTTCGCTCTAACATTTAATGTCTTGATCATGTGCCATCAAGTTGGTATCAACTCTTAGTGACTGCATAGATAGATCTTCTCCAGGATGATCTATCCCCAACCTGGTCCTTCAGGTCCTCCAATGGTGCCCCTATCGCTGCTATAACTGAGTCCATCCACCTTGCTGCTGGTTGTCCTCTTCTTCTCTTTCATTCCACCTTTCCCAGCATTATGAACTTCTCAAGAGAGCTACAGTAGGTCTTTGGATAATGGGCCCACAGTATAATTATCTGTGCCTTGAAAGCGAACTCTGGGTTGATTTGTTCAATTATTCATTGGTTTGTTTTCTTGGGTGTGCATCATATTCTCAGGAGTCTTCTCCAACACTAAAGTTCAAAAGCGTCAATAGTCTTCCTATCCTGCTTCTTCAAGTCATCCTTGTGCATACAACTCAATCTACTTCGTAGACTGACAGCCAGGCCAACAACTCTATCATGTATGCGCATGCATGTTTGGAGTACTGTGGCTCAGATATTAGGATCCCAAAGTTCTTGAGAAGTAATACAGTGCTCTCAGATCATGCTGCCATTCCCAGATCTCCTCCTCCTCCTCCTCCTCTCTCTCCACAAGTTCAGTTCAGAGTTGGATGCTGACCCCAGTCCAAGATCTACCACAGCTTGAGCCCCATCTCAGGACCGCATAGCGAAGAATGAGGGAGGGTCTTAAGCACCAGTGACCCATACTGAGTGTCCAAGCAGAAGAACTGTTTCCCATGATCTGTGATTCAGGAGCTGGCTGGGGAGAGGCTGCTTTTGAGTTCTGTTCGAGTAAGCAGAGTGTTCAGATGCGACCAACTTGCATCCTGCAGGATCTGTCAAGCTCATGTTGTCTTTTCCTAACTCCGTCCTTGGTTGTGAAAAAATGAGTTCTTGCGCCATGAACAAACCAGAAGGGAGCAGCAGAGATTAAGGACCGAGCAAGGGAGAGTCACAGCTCTCCTGGCGCCACTGGGGGGCAGCAGAGTGACACAGAGGAACCCACAGCCACCCAGAAATACAAAGACATTGCCAAATATTAGAACTTGTTGAAAGTTTTCCAAAGAGGTGTAAAGATAAAAGGGACGTGGTGGGAGAGAAGGAGGGGGAGAACCAAAGGCTTGAAAATAAACCTGATGTACCGACGTTTCGTGTTACGCTGGGCTGCATCTCCCATCATCAGTTGCTAAGGACGATGGGAAGTGTAGTCCAGCCCAGCTCCAGGCCACCAGTTTGGAGAAACTGGCCTGATGTCCCCTTCATAAGCACTTCTTTCCTTGTGTGTGCAAGTTTACATAGGTGTTTAGATGACTGCGTTTTGATCTTTGAAGAGGGTGGGCCATTAACATCCTTCTGCTCATGGTTTGAATATTCTCTCTCCTCACATCCCTTTCCCAGGAAATTTAAGAAGCACTTTGGGTGGGTGGGATTCAGATTGGACACTAGATAGCAACTAAAATGTGGGTTTAGTTAGCAGTTTAATATGCAAGGTTTTGGGACTTCCACTCTTTAGATCAGCGATTCTCAACCAGCATCTGAGCTGTGCCATTTTAAGCTACAGAGGGTGCTACAGAGGGTATCAGGCAGTTCACGTTCCTCCCTATAAACATAACATTCAGCAAAGGATCGTAAACGATGTTTGAGATAAGGACGTCCAGCTAGTGTCCTGGCAAGCTTTGTAATATATTTCTGTGGGAAGGAGAAGGGTGAAGGGTGCTCAGAGGCATTGCTCTACCATGCTCAAATGAGAAGAGCGGATTGTAAAGCATCTCAGGGTTGTGCGAAGAACATAAGAAAGTTGGCAGGGGCCACTGGCAAAGCCCTATGGTAGGAATGCCCTCTGGGTGCATGGAGGGGCTTTTCTCTCAGTCCCTGGAAGCCACTGACTGCCCCCTGAATTGGCCACCCTAGAAGGTGGGCACTGCGCAGGTCGAGTACCGCTGGGGCCGCCGAGTGAAGGCGGGCTCAGTAGTAAGTTCCAAGTCCACTTCGTTCCTTCCAGGAGGGGGTCGAAATGTAAACCGCTGGAGCACTCCCACCACAAACAGGAAGAGTTCCATCCTGGCCAGGCCTTCTCCAAGGCAGTTCCTGCGACCTGTAACAAGCACCCCGCCGAAAGGGTCATTTTAAAGAAGGAAGAGAAACAAAAGACAGAAGGTCTGCACTGTTGTCAGCTGAGCTCTGTCTTCGCTGCTGCGTATCTCCCTGAAGCATCGTGGAGCATGCCGCGGTGCTCCTGGACTTGAAGCGCTAAGGCACTGACTCACGCGAGAGACGTCCCAAAGTTCTGGAGAGATAGATGTCCAGGTCGAGACTCCCTACTAGCCTGAAGAGCTTTTGGGGCTCACAGAAGGTGGGAAGCAGCCCCTGTCCTCTTACTCACTGTCCCCAACTGGCGAAGCTAATACAGCATACCAGGAGATTAAGGGTGGCAATGGAGCACAAAGGTCCAAGCCCCCTTAAATGTCTTAACTCTTCCAAGAAAGGGTAAAGCTTTGGATAACTATTTTGGTTCCAGATCCTGGTGGAGCAGTTAGACATCCATGGTGCTGTCCAACATCCTGGTGCTCCAACCAGAGCAATTTGTGCTCTTCAAGCTATCTAGACCATGGGCTTCTTCATCCTCTAGAGATAGGTTTCCTCCCAGAAACCTTCTCTTGGTTCCTCCGCCAAAAGACAGGCTATAGACTGATCTCCCAGCCAGCCTCGTCTCCTCTTTCCTAGAACTTCAGTCCCTCCTGACCCACAGGATGGAAATGGTCTTCTTTACCTACCTATTGAGAAAGGCATGAAGGCTTCTTTTTTCACAAAGTTCCCTTCAGCATCCAGAAAATGGTTGGGGTTAAACCGGTAAGGAGTCTCCCACTGGGTTTCGTCATAAAGTGAGGATGTGAGAGAAGGAATCACTGCTGTTCCCTGGAACACGAGCAAATTGGGGGAAATCAGTTCAGGAATGAATGCGTTCCATCTCCCGCATTTCCAGGGGAGAAGGGAAAGGTTCAAGGTAGACATCATGGCAGGACAACTGAACTAAACCTAGACCTGCGCATTCATGTACAGCTCCGTTCTCAGCAAAGCTTAATCTGCCCAAACTTCTCTCCTGCAGCTTGGGACTCTGAGCCTCGCACCTACCTTTGGAATGAAGTAGCCTTGGAAGTGTGTGTCCACGGAGGTGCAGCGTGGAAACTGTGGTACAACAGAAGCAAACCTCTGCACCTCATGAATCGTGGCATTCGTGAAGGGCATCCGCTTCCTGTCTTCATAGACCGGTAAACGTTCCGATCCAAGGACGCTCTGGATTTCTTCTTGCACCTTCCCTGCCAGAGGAGTGGTCTGAGAGTGAGGGCCAGAAAGGTAAAGCCCCTTTCCCTCATCAGCCCCGGCGAGGCAGTTGTGTTCCTTGGCTTGTCGTTCAACTGGAGGAAGCCAAGTTGCTGCCTGAAGACATCATCTGCTCTTCCACATCTTAGCAAGCCCAAAGCATTCTGCTTGCTGGCCTCCAAGGGCCCCTGCCAAGCCACCAGAAGCCCTTATTAACCACCTTCTAAACTTTTGAGGAACTCGACTGCTACCTATGCTTCTCCTGCCCTAGGCCAACAACTCTGTGGTTCTTGGCTAGCTTGGAGCTGTTTCTGGCCACTTGGATTAGCAATTTTCTCCTGGGTGCCATTAACAGATGGGGTGGGAGGGGAAGCCCCATTGTCTGAAGGAAGAAAATAGTGGGAGGGATAAACCTAGCTCAACAGCCTCTCCTAGGCTATCCTTGACTAGTGGGGATTCCACATGCACACACACACACACACATACCCGATTCAGCCCAACCAGGGGGCTTAGCAAAAAGAGAATTCCAGCTTACTTTGAATCTCAGGGTACTTCATCATCAGCAGAAAGGCCCACTGCAGAGTGGTAGCGGTGGTCTCCGTGCCAGCCATGACTAGGTCAAGAACTGAGCTGATGATGTTGGTGCTGTGAAATATGTCCTTCTTGCCATTTTTTTCCTTAAACACAAGAGGCAATGTTTGGGCTTGATTGACGCGGGAGTTGGGGAAAAAATGGTTTCCTTTAAAAAGCAAACACTGCTCAGACAGAGTTTTGAAAACCCAACTGTCAGGGCTTTGGGGGTGTGGTTCCACCTATCTGGAAGACTGTCTCAAGGAATGGAAAACAATAAAGCCATGCCACAAAACCTGGCAGTAGAAATGTCTGAATTACTGGTTTTTTGGGGGGTGGGGTGGGGTGGGGGAAGCAACAGGAGGCTTCTAGGATGGAGCAAGAGAGCTTTCTGAGGAGAGAACGTTCTTGACGTATGGAACTGCAACCACACTGTTGAGGAGGTGCACTGTGGCTGCTCAAGGTTGTCCTGTAAGGGGGTGTGAAGAAGTCCACTGGTGGACTGGGAAAATAGATTGCGGGAGGGGGAGTGACAGGAATTGTAATCCAGCACATCTCAGGGACACAGATGGGAAAAGATTATTTTAGGGCGCGGTTAAGTTTTCTGTTGTAGCCTAATGGAGACGACTAAGTTGGAAAAGCATGGAAGGAACCAAAACCCCCATACCTCTTCTTGTTTGAACAGCAGGGAGTCAATATAGCTTTGTAGCTGGTTCCCACTTAGAGTCTCCTTGCTGGCTTGGATGTATTTCCGTAGGATGACATTCGTTTCTTCAATTCTTTTCAAGATCATCTTATGGGGGTTGAGGAGGGGCCCAAGGAACGGATAGACGTTAAACAGCTGGAAACAAGCAAGCAAGTCAAGGTAACGTTTCTAGGCGAGAAGGATGTCGTAGTCATTACATCACAGTCGTGCCTGTGAATGTAAGTTGTGCCTAAAAGGAATCTCTTTAGTCCATGTTTCTGGGCTCTTCGTGCAAGGTTTGCCCAAGAGAAACCAGGTGCTTCAGAGGTTTAACTATGGAAATCATTCCAAAAGCTATCAGAATGCTAAAACTGGAATTCAACGTTTTGAAGGTATGGCTCAAGTTCTCCAAGGGCAGCTATTCTCCTTATCTTTAAAAAAATAAGTAAATACATCTCCAGATAAGTGAACGGGGGCCACTGGCCTTTTCTAGGCACAACCCATAAATGCTAATTTGAAAAACAATTAAGGGAAAACAACAAAAAGCTGATGCAGCTAGTGACACTCCTTTTGAGAAGGGAGCAATTAAAAAAACAAATCAACCCCCAGCCCCCCAAGAACTTATGTGGCCCTTTTTGAAAATTTGGCAGGACCCAAATTTGTCG